ATTTTTTCATTATGGCTTTACTCTGCATTTTCCTAAGGACAAACAATCTTTAGGTTTGCTCTCATCAATATATCCACTTGGTGGATTCTACAACTTTGAAATATTCAGTTATTTTGTAACATGCCCTAGACCTCAGCTCAACTGATGCCATATTGGAGGCACTATTCTGACCTTAGAACCTAGTATGTAGGCCCCAACACCTGCCAAAACAGGAGCGAAGACCTAATCCATTACAGATACAACCCATAGTTCCAGTCCATCAAAGGTACAACCCATAGTTCCAATCCATCAAAGACACAACCTATAGTTCCAGTCCATTAAAGACACAGCCCATAGTTCCAATCCATCAAAGACACAACCTATAGTTCCAGTCCATCAAAGACACAGCCCATAGTTCCAGTCCATCAAAGATACAACCCATAGTTCCAGTCCATCACAGACACAACCCATAGTTCCAGTCCATCAAAGACACAACCTATAGTTCCAGGATCTAGGAAAGTCCCTAAAGGTTCTAGCTTTGATTTTTGGCCTCTTTTGTTTTGCTTCTCACTAACTTTTCTTGATAACTGAAGTGTGTCAACCAGGGTGTGGTTTTGTGCTTAAAAAACAAGGAATGGTGAGGCTCTGGGCTGCATGATTTGGGCAAGTTTCCCATGCAGCTGCTAGCCAGCAATACAGACTTTCTATTCAACTTTGAGAGTGTCCGTGTGTGCTCCCTGGAGTTACCTCACAGCCTTTGCTCTTTTGAAAAATAATTTCCACAAGGCTTTCTATGTAGACCCCTTGTCAGCTACTCTTCCTCTTATATATGTTCCTTTTAGCTCTCTTGTCTTATTGCATTTGTTATAATTTCCAGTACAAGGCTATGATAGTTGGAAGGAAATTGGCCCCCATAATCCCAAAGGGAGTGGCACTATAAGGAAGTATGGCCTCACTGAAGTAGGTGTGCCCTTGTTGGAGGAATTGTGTCATTGTGGGGGTGGGCTTTGAGGTCACTCTGTCACAGACTACTTCTTGTTTCCTTCTGATCAAGATGTAGCCAGCATCATGTCTGCCAGCACACTGTCATGCTCCCTGCCATGATGCTAATGGACTGAACCTCTGAAACTGTAAGCAAGTGACCCCAATTACATGTTTTCCTTATAGGAATTGTTATGGTCATGGTGTCTCTTCACAGCAACAGAAACTCTAACTAAGACAAAGGTTGTATGTAAGTCTTATACCTTAGTTTGGTTCCTGCTTTTAGATTTTTCATCAAGTATGACAGTTTTCTTTGTAAATGTTCTGTTTATGTTAGAAAGATTTCTTTTATTCATCCCAACTTGATCAAAATATCATAAATGGATCCTGGATTTTGCCAAATGTATTTCCTCTGTCTATGGAGATGATCATGAGGTCTTTTCTAGTCCTTTGAAATGGTGACTTTTACTTACCAGTATTTAAATATTAAATGGGTTTACATTTATGTACAAACCTTCTTCTACAGAGCTAAGTTCAGTATTTCATCGGCTAAGACTGTATCTACCTTTCATGGGGCTGTTGCTTCATTTGATGTGTATTTCTGCTTCTGGTGCTCCACTTTCCTGGAAAAGCATGTGCAGTTGGTTTTATGTGCCCCTTTAATAGAATTGGCAGAACTTATCACTGAAACAATCTGCCTCAAGTGTTTTCTGCCTGAAGGATAAAGTAAAATTTTAAACAGATTTACTGTTCTTTGCATTGACATCTCATTTTCAGTGAGTGTTGGTCCTATGTGTCTGTAGGGAGTGAAAGACTGAAAGGACCAATTTATGTTTAAACAATGTGGTGCTGATATGTATATCTGGTATGAGTCAATACAAAATGGCCAACACTGAATGTCCCTGGGAATTACAAAAGAAAGTAGTAATATAATCTGCCATGTACTATTTTTGGCAAAGTGCCATTTGTGTATGACTGTAAACATGTATAAACATGGCCTTGAAGTCAGAGGCAAGAGCATTTCATCTCTGGTTGTGTGTCTGTCTGTAGGCCTGTGCATGACCTGGAGATGCCAACATGCAGCTGGGTAATCTACAGCATCTTCTGTAACTTACTGAATTTTCTATGAGTTATCTAATTTATGGGCATATTAATTGTTCACAAGTAATAACATTTTCAATATGTGTGGTGTCTGTTGGGATATTTCTTACTTGTTTTTCATATTGTGACTATTATTTCCTTTTTTTCTTGCTAATGCTAGCTAAAATTTTCTTTGTTTTCTTGACGAGAAAATAAACTTGTTGTTTTTAACTAAGTTGTTATATTTACCAATAAAGACCCGGGAGTCAGATGTTGGGGTGAAAACCTGCTAGGTCAGAGAAGCCAAGAAGCAACGAGCTGACCTTTTTTTTGACTGGAGACCCAGTCTCTCCACCCATCCCAAACCAAACAGACCACGAATCTCTAAGTCCCTCCTACTTCTTCCTGTATGTCTCTCTATCTGTATTCCTGGCTTCTCCATCCCCCCTATGGCTAATTCCTGTCAACTAGTCTCTGGCTCCAATCACCCATCCAAGGTTAAATTTATTAACACAGTCTTAGAGTGTCATCAAATACCCACAACATAAACTGTTGTGGAATATTAATTTAATATGCCTTACATTCATTTATGCTGTGGAATATTTGCTTGATGATGCAAAGATATGTCGCATTCTTTTATGTTGCATTTGTTTAATTCTGTAAAGCTGTGTTACTTTGCCTGTCTAAAATACCTGATTGGACTGATAAAGAGCTAAATGGCCAATAGCTAGGCAGGAGAGAGATGGGCAGGGCTGCCAGGCAGAGAGAATAAGTAGGGGAAATCTAGGCTCAATGAAAGAGCAAGAGTGAGGAACAAGAAAAAGAGGAGAGGAAGATGTCAGGGGCCAGCTACCCAGCAACCCAGCCACCCAGCCACACAGCCAGCCATGGAGTAAGGAAGAAAGAAAGAAAGAAAGAAAGAAAGAAAGAAAGAAAGAAAGAAAGAAAGAAAGAAAGGAAGAAAGGAAGGAAGAAAGAGAGAGAAAGAAAGAAAGAGAGAGAGAAAGAGAGAAAGAAAGAAAGAAAGAAAGAAAGAAAGAAAGAAAGAAAGAAAGAAAGAAAGAAAG